GTGTGTGTGTGCGCAAGAGCGAGTGCGTGGCACTGTGTGACTTAAGAGAAAACTAATTCTAGGTGCACCCTCCAACAGTCCACTTGACCCAGGTGGAAAAGTGGGTTTTTATGTTACAGAAGTGCCCAGACATAAATTTGAGGGCTTTTTAAGACAAAAAAGTGCATTGTTTCAGCACTGCTCTTTCTAATGACATTTTTCTCCTTTCTGGTCAAGAGAATCCCATAGGGATATGAAATGTGGCACTGTATAACAGGGGTTGCTCTAGATCACGTTCAGTGGGAGCGAAGCAGTGCCTGACTCCGCAAACTACTACTATTTTGGGTTTTTTTGTTATTGGACTGTCTTTACCGTAAAGACGTACAAGCCCTTTTGTTTCCCTCTTGGTAGGAATTGGAAGGAAAATAGCTCACCATTTCAAGGACGGCAAATGTTAACTCTGATAAGGAGGAGTCGCTGAACTTTAGGTAAATTCAGACTGGGACACTTTATATTTTTTGGTTAATTTAAGCAACAAACAACTTCTTTTGTAACTGCACTTGATTTACAAGAAAGACGAGGGAAATGAACATCTACCAAAGATGATCGCTTAATAAGGTGTAACTCCTAGAGCCTAAAAAAAAGCCAGTGTGAGAAATAGTAGAGGCATTGAACAACCTCAGATAATAATGTGCTCGGACCCGTTGTGCTTTCAATTGGCCCAGCTATGAAGATTTCATAGAAGAAAAGAAGAAAAAAATTGGGGAAAAAAAAGCATTTTGTACCTGTAGATACGAGATAGCATTTGATTGTCTGGAGCGTTTCCCTGTCGCACCTCAGTCACGAATTGCCGTGTCTCTTAAGATTACAGCTTCCCGTCGCGGTTCTGCCAGTGTTAATCTAGCTAATGTTCAGTCTTCCTTACTTGCCCGATCTGCAACAGGTACTTGAATTTGGTTAGTCGGTTGGTTTTTGAAGTGGCAATGTGACTTGCACACGAAGGAGTTGGACTCGCTACCAGTGGGGAGTGCTGGGAGCTGTGGCTGGAGCAAGCTGCGCAGCTCACGAGGACTCGGGACTTGAGCTGGGATCGGGTTTTACTCTTCTCTGCTCCAAACCCCTCTCTAGAGCGACAGCCAAGGAGTGGAAATGTTTGAACACTTGCGCCAGATTATTTCCCCCCCTAAGGAATTGGAACTGATTTGCGTGACTGAATAACGTCCTGTTTTGTCTCCAGAACGCTTGTAATATTTTTCACAGCCAAGCTTGTCAGGCTTGCTTTGGGTTTCGTTCGCTCTGCTGCACAACAGTTACAGACCTTTTGGTTCTTTTCTTGAATTCTCTTTTACTTTTGAAGCAGGATTTAGCGTTTTGAACAAACCTCTTGCGGTTGAAACATGTCGCTTATCTGCCTTGAAACTGTTTTCACATATGCCTTTGTTTCGGGAATAAGCTGTTTCGAATGTCTGTCCTGTGCTGTAACGCGTGCTACAGTTTGCTGTGTGGAATTTGGTCCTTTTGAGAGATAACTGGTGCTCATCACATCCTGGTAATTTCCCTAGACTAACGCTAGCTCTGGTCTGGATTCTGAGTGTGGGCCTGGGGTTTTTTTAATGTTCGTACCCGCGTTCGTGACGTGAATCCCACAGGTCTCAACTTCGGAGGGGACAAAAAGGGGGATGAAGTTTCAGCCCGTGAGAGTGCACTGTAAATAGAGTCTTTACAACACCGAGTCGGTATTAGGGCTCATAACGGGATACGAATCTTTGTATTAACTCGTGGGTCATTCCCTTTGACGTGGGACAAATTTCTTCTGCCGCTGTAGTCCAGTCCCTGCTGTGAGCGCTGTGGGGGCGATCACACCGCTGTCCGGGAGGCCGAGGTCTCGTGTCTTAAGGTGTGTAGCTGGAAAAGCCACAAAACAAATGCAGCTACGAGAATACTTTAAAAAAGGGAGGATGTGGAGGGTATCATCAGCTTCGTTCTGTGGGCATTGTGTTGGTTGCTTTTCTCTTAAACAGTAAGCACTTCAGTTTGCTTTCAATTGGAAATTAAATCCCGATCGCTTTTTGTTCTTGACAGTTTTAAAAACCTGCATTGAATCTGCAACTTTGGCCTGGTAAGTTTGCCATTCTCCTTTTGGGAAACTCGCTTGTACCCTTTGAACTGTTTCTCTTTGATTTGTGTAGTTAAAAAAAAAAAAGATGAGAAAAAGGGAGGAGAAAGAGAGAAGGAAATTGGCGAACTGCAGCCATCCTGCGATGAGACACTACAAACCAACCCAAAGACAGAGGAATGAAGCTTGCGTAGCTCGGAGCAAGTCTCATTCGCTGAGCTTCGTAAGCAGGAGTGAAATTAAAACGCAGTTATGGTTCCTGCAGCAATCTGTACAGAATTCATGATCCTAAGGGCTTAAGAGCAGTTTAACTCTATTTTCTTATTCCACTCCAAACCAAGTCCTGCTTGAATTCAGCCGGCTGTCTCTGGCTCAAGTGATCCGAAAGGCCCCGTCAACTCTGTTCACTTTAGCACTTCCCCAATTCTGCCACTTCTGTCAAGTTGCCATATTGTGTGTATTAAAGTAACTAAATGCAATTTTCTCACTTAAGGATGTATTACCCAGGTATGTAACTTCGTTTAACATAAGCATTTTGTATATTGTTTACATTTTGAGAGGTAGCATTACGTTAAAAATGCTAATTTTTGTTTCTAGACAGTATTTTTCTTACCAGAATAAGAAGTGAAGCTGCAAATATTTGATTTGTTTTTAAAAGGGACTTTTTCTTTTGGTTTTGTTGTCGTTTTGTTTTGGTTTTGGTTTTTTGTTTTGTTTTTATTTTTAATCTCGTTTTAGGTCACTTTTTTTTTTAACTCGAAGTATTTAAAAAGAAAAACCCAGCCCTTTTCAATTCTGGTTTTACAACTGCTTGTGCTAGTTTGTTGTCTGTTTCTGGTGTGAATTTAGTTCTAGTTTGCTGAATGTAGATATCTTTCTGTCTGTAGCATGTACCCTGCGCAACACTTTACACTGAAGTGCATTTGACTGAAAACCACCCTCGGCTGAAGAGTTGCAGTAGGTGAGCAAATCGCTCACATCCTGGCTAGGGCGCAGGCTTTTTCACGAAATTGCAGTGCAATTCTTGGGTCAGACAGTTTCAAAAAGGAAAAAAAACCTGAAAATGTGCAGTATCTCCAGTGCCCAGAGGCAGGGTGAGTTTGTGAGAAGCGAGTCTTGCCTGTACTGAGGGTGTCTCTTTCTGAACATGGGCCTGATGTGTCCAAATGTAAGAACTAAAACCATCTTTGACCCTAGAACTTACATCTCCCCCGTTGAGACAGCTCCTGGGTAAGAGTGGGAGAGGGAAGGCAGGGCGCGGAGTCGCAGTTCGGGTGCTGCTCTGCTCCAGTAGTGCAATAAAAACCACTTGAGAATGTGCTGGGTCACCCTTGGCCAGACCCTACGTGTTCTGGAGGCAGCACCCGCCCTTGGTGCCAGCACTGGGGCAGGGCCTGGTGTTTGCTGTGTGTGAGGATGTCGGCAGGAGGTCACTTCTCGCAGCGAAGAGCAGTGGGGTCCTTCCCTCTGCTCTGGTGCACGCCTCCAATTGACCTGGTTTTAATTAGAAAAGCTGCGATTGTGAAATTCATCACAGGGAGAACTTCTGGGGTAGTGGGTGACTCCAGATTCCCTGTACACCCCCATCGCGACTCCTGGTGTTGAACTGGATTATCATAACCAGCAAGAACACTCGAACACTCGAGTCGTATTTCCGTTTTTGGGAGGAAACGCCTGCTTTCCCCTCCAGAGCGCTGGACGCTGCCTTCAGTGGGGACATCAGCTGGGGACTCTCCTTTTAGCCCAGGAAAGGGACAGGGCGAGGTTGTGTGGTGGTCACGGGCCGTGTTGGTGGGGTTGTGTGGTGGTCACGGGCCGTGTTGGTGGGGTTGTGTCGTACCCCTGATGCACGGATGCCTCCCAGTCCTGTGACAACTACGCAGTGTTTTAGGGATGCCTCCCTCCAGGCTGCACAAAGCTGTTAACCCCGAGGTGGTACAAACCTTTCAGAAGTCAGTGTGCACGTCCTAAACTTGGTTTGCAACACTGCGTAACTGAGCCGAGCCAGATCGGCCTTAAAATAGCTCCAAAAACACAACAGCTCTCCTCTCCCCGTCTATGTCTTAATGCCCCGTTTCAGGTTCGCCTGTCAACTCCCCCTACTTCTGCAGAGCCATTCTCCAGTACCCGCATCAGCCACTGCTGATTTCCCCCTGCTCTTTGAGATGAGGATCTTGTGTAATAGCGATGGCAAAGCTCGGGGAACCAACCGGCCATCGGTTTTGGTGGGCTGGGTTTGCACCGCCCGGCAGTCGCGCTGGTCTTTGTGAAATGCAGCCGTATTACACACAGGTGCCAGGGGTGGGCAGGGTTCATCAGTGCGACTGAAAAAAATGTGAATAAATTAAGTTTAATCTAAAACAAAACAAAACAAAAAAAAAGCATTCTAGGTTTTTTCACTGCTGTTTTTTAAATAGGAATTTGAAGTCCTCTGTGCTTGTCTGTTTGCTAGGAGCAGTTTGAGACACTGTTACTGTTTTGAAATGCATGCATGTTACAAGATGAGTCTCCAACCAGAGAAAAATAAAATTAAAACTTTGTGTACGTCTGTTCCTTACTGCTGTCCTCTTTCAAGTGCTCTCTTGATCAACTCTATGAGGTATGTGGCCGTTCAAGTCCTACATTAAACCATAACTGGAAATGTCTTTTTATACGTGCCTGTAAAATGGGGGGGGTTAAGTAAAACCTGATTTTACCAAGTCCTGGATACGAGAACAAATTGGATTGGGCTCCCTGGGGTGCGGCTGAAGCTCAGTCACTCACACGTGGGTGTATCGAGGGAGATTAGCATGGGTGGCTCAGAGAAAGGTAAGCTCTGCTACTGTGTAAAACCCAAGCTCCTTCTGATAGCTTTAGAGATGAGAACTTAATCCCAGTGTTCAGACCCCAAGAAAGAAAAGGAAAGTTCACTACAACAGAGTTTTATTTAAAAAAGTTCCAAGCAGGCTGGGATGTGAAACACATGGGCAGACGTGCTGGGCTAGTCCATGCGGGCTTTCAGGGTCCTGGTGGTGATCTTGTCCTTTTCGCTAGAGGAGGAAAGAGAGAAGACTCTTAATAAACCCACATTTAATACCTCCATATGGATTGTCCCTTCATTAGGAAGCTGCAGTGTGCACAGGTGCTTTGCTAGTGCAGCCAGGGTCATCTGAACTGCTGCTTCACACCAGGGGAGCTCCAGTAGGACCAGTAAGCAGCAGTGGCTGAGATACTGCAAGGAAATGGCACCACGAGAAAAATAAGCTGCTTCAGAAGGTGGCCTGACTGCAGTCTGCACCCAGCTGTGGCACAGAGCATCCTACCCCTACGTGAGGAGTCTCACTTCTAAACACCGATGGGAATGCAGGTAGGAAATCCCTGTGCAGCGAGAGTAACACAAGGATTCATTTACCACGGCTCCTGCAGTTCTAGCAACAGCCACAAACTGCAACAGAGAGCAGCCACAAGCAATAGAACACTTAGACAAAACTGCTACAGGTGCTGCTGGAAGGGAGCAGGCCGAGGGATACCCTGGAAGCCAGTGTCTTGGCTGCCTTTGACACAGCTTGTTAAACTGTTCCGCAGGGGAGGAGAGCAGCACTTACATGATGTGTACTACCACGCCCATTCCAGATATGGCATCTCTGTCCACTGCGTTCAACATGGCCTGCGAGATTGTTTCGAAGAGGTGATCGGGTTCCTGAGGAACAGAAGCTGTTTCAGTTGGTGTAAAAACTGAACGCTGAGCACTCAGATTTTGTTCAAACCCCAAAGTATCATCCAAGGGGCTGCAAGATTTTTTCCTGCAGGCTGCTATCAGTTACAGCCTTTTTGGGAAGTACCAAAGGACAGAGCTGCTCATCCAGCCCACGTATCTCAGGTTCCTCAGGTAACAGCAGGAGGCTGAATGCAAACACGAGAGCTGAGCCTGGCCACCTCACTCACCATGTCGGGCTCCCAGAGGGACTCGCACATGCCGTACATCTGCTCGGAGCAGGTGCCGCTGACCACAAAGTCATCGGTGATCATCGGGCAGCCGATCAGGTCTAGAGAGCAGATGAAAGGTTCGTGTGTTATGGGGTCCAGCCCGGCAATGACTGGTTCTGTGTAGTAAGGTCCAAACCTGTGAAGAACAACACAGCATAGAGCAGACTGAGCACCCTGATGCAGCTCCACATCCCGTGTAAAGATCCATACAAGGAAAACATCCCATAGAAGGCAGGAGACCTTTCAGGTCCACCTAGAAGCACCCTGCAATGGTTTTAGTATGGCAAACAGAACAGACTTGGGCTGCTACAGGATTATTTTAACAATACTCAGTATTATTTTGCCAAGAAAGTTGAAGATAATGTTGTCCCTAGATTAAAGCCTCCTCTTGCCATACCAGTCTGCACTGGAGCCCTCCTCAACCTCCCAGCTCTCTAGAGCCAGACCAGCTCCAGCCACCACAGCCTTCACTGACACGTAAACAGCAACTCCGTTGTCTGACAGTTACCGTCTCTCGTAGAGCAGATTGGAAACCATGCTCATAAAAGTCTGAGGTTTGATCTGCCTGCCTTCCTTCAGCTCGTAGAGGTTCAGCCTGAACTTCAGTCTCTGGGCACTGCAACAGAGGGGAATTAGCATTAAAGCAGAAGCAGGTTCCTTTTCCTTTCAACTTCATCCAGACCTGAACTGTTCTACTGGACAGACAGGCACCAGCTCCTAACACGTGCCTGATGCTGGTAGATATTCCAGATGCAGCTCCTTTTATACCCCAAGTTACATCTTGGTAGTGAGGCAACCTTAAATCACATGCAGTTTTATTTTAAAAACTCCCAGTGAAGGGAAACCAAGAAAAGGAGGGCTGGCACCCAGCTATTATGAATAAGCTAAGATGCTAATACTCAGCCCCTTAGTATTTATTGTAAATATGCCTCTCCCAGGCTGAGTATGAGGACATGCGGCTGAGAGTCTCACTTACACCGTCTGCACGT